CCCTGCTCTGTGCGTGACAGGGGGCAGCGCCCCAACCCCCCGATTGGCCCTGCCTTGAGTGTGACAGGGGGTGGCGCCCCAACCCCCCAATCGGCCCTACCCTGAGCGTGACTGGGGGTGGCATCGCAACCTCCCGATCAGCCCTGCTCTGTGCATGACAGGGGGCGGCGCCCCAACTCCCCAATTGGCCCTGCTCTGAGCCCAACCAGGGCCTGCACCTAGGGATTGGACCTGCCCTCTGCCACCCGAGAGCAGGCCTAAGCCAGCAGGTCGTTATCTCCCGAGGGGTCCCAGACTGTGAGAGGGCACAAGTGGGGCTGAGGGACACCTCTCCCCCGCCAGTGCACAAATTTTTGTGCACCGGGCCTCTAGTAATCAATAAAACAACAAACAACAAGTTTTGGCCAGGATGTGGAGAAAAGGGAACCCTCCAGCACTGTTGGTGGGCTTGTAACTTGGTGCAGCCACAATGGAAAACAGTATGGAAGGTCCTCAAAAATTTGAAACTAGAACTACCACATTACCCAACAATTCCACTTCGGGGTATTTATACAAAGAAATCCCAAGTACTAATTTGAAAAGATATATGTCCCCCCCTATGTTCATTGCAGCATTATTTACAATAGCCAAGATATGGAAGCAACCCAAGGGTCCGTCGATAGGTAAGTGGATTAAAAAAATGAAATCTTGTCATTGCAACAACATGAATGGACCTAGAGGATATTATGCTAAGTAAAATAAGACAGAAATCAAATACCATATGATTTCACTTATATGTGGAACCTACAAAAATAAAACAGAAACAAACTCATAGATACAAATTGATAGTTGCCAGATGGCAGAAAGGTTGGGGGAGGGGAGGGGAAAGGAGGATGGGTAAAAAACGGAAAGTGATTGCCCTGGCTGGTTTGGCTCAGTGGATAGAGCGAGGGCCTATGGAATGAAGGGGCCCATGCCTGGGGGTTGGGGCGCTGCCCCCTGTCACGCACAGAGCAGGGGCCCATGCCTGGGTTGCGGGCTCGATTCCCAGTGTGGGGCAGCCAATCAATGATTCCCTCTCATCACTGATGTTTCTCTCTCTCCCTCTCCCTTCCTCTCTGAAATCAATAAAAATATATTTTTTTTTAAAAAGGAAAAGTGATTGCCCTGATCGGTTTGGCTCAGTGGATAGAGCGTCAGCCTGCAGACTCAAGGGTCCCAGGTTCGATTCCGGTCAAGGGCATGTACCTTGGTTGCGGGCACATCTCCAGTAGGGGGTGTGCAGGAGGCAGCTGATCGATGTTTCTCTCTCATCGATGTTTCTAACTCTCTATCCCTCTCCCTTCCTCTCTGTGAAAAATCAATAAAATATATTTTTTTTAAAAAAAGGGAAAGTGATTAAGTAGTACAAATTGCCAATAATAAAAATTGTCATAGGGATGTAAAGTACAGCACAGGGACTACAGTCAATAATATTGTAATAATTATGTATGGTAGCACATGGGTACTAGACTTATTGGGGTAATCACTTAGTAAGTTACATGTCTAATCCAAAACTAATATAATATACAGGTGGGGCTTGTTGGGCCTCGCTGTGCCCCGCCTCTGCCTCAGCCCAGGTGAAGGCGGTTTGGAGGCGTTTCCTCTCCAGGCCTCAGACGCAGTTAATTTCTGCAAGTGCAACTTGGATGGCCGAGGTGGCGGCAGCCCCACTGGAGTGTGGGAGGCAGGGTTCTCTCCACCCTTGAGGGTGTGTATAGGTCTGGCCCCTCGTGGGTCTGTTAAAAAAAAAAAAAAAAAAAGTCAGTGCCCAGCCAGTGTGGCTCAGTGGTTGTGTCCACTTACAAACCAGGAGGTCAGGGTTCGATTCCCCGTCAGGGTACAAGCCCGGGTTGGGGGCTCGATCCCCAGTGTGGGGCCTGCAGGAGGCAGCCCATCAATGATTCTGTCATCACTGCTGTTTCTCTCTCTCCCTCCCTCTCCCCTCCTCTCTGAAATCAATAAAAATGTTTAAAAAACAAAAAAAATTACAAAGAACAAGTCAATAATGAGGTGAAAATAAAAATTTGTTTAAAGTGGATACGACTGTGAGGAAAGGAAGGTACCAGAGTCTATTCTAGTAGGTTTGGTAGGAAAGCTTGATAGCAGAGGAGGTAAGGCCAGTAGAGAAGAAACTGAAGGTAAATAAAACATATAATCACCTTTAAAATAAGTTACATTACAAAATATAAACTGACTGTATAATACTTTCTGCTGAGAGGAGTAATTTCTGCTAAACAACTTCCGTACTGGGCTGGTTCAGCTCTGCTCACACCAACAAGAGCCAGAGGGGCCAGGGAGCTCCAACCACCTCTGAGCTGTTCCTGGGACACAGCCTCGTGTGCACGGCGCTGCGGGCCCCACGGAGGCCCGGGGAGCATTTCCCACACCTGCCTCCGCACAGGAGCCACCTGGGACACTCCTTCACACACTCCTTTACACACTCACACTCACACTCACACACACTCCCCCGCTCCCCCTCTGGAGGGTCTGAGCCTCCTGGTTCCGGGCGCTGTGTTTTTCAAACGAGTGAGCCAGGTGATCAGGCAAGTTTAAGAAATCAGTATAAATCCCTGGCACCGGAAAAGGGTGCCCCTTGGGCCGCCTCACCCGACCCCCGAGCCCCGCTGCCTCCTCTGCGTCCGGCTCACAGGCCTGGGGAACATGGACTTGAAGATTCGGGGATCAAACCCGAGCGCCACCCGCATCAGACCCGAGGGGACCGACAGGAGCCGCCGCCGGCTCGGCGTCC